TCATCCAGGCCAAGGTGCCGATGTCGGAGTAACGCACCTCCTTCAGCCAGTAGCACGCGCTCTGCGAGGCCTGCAGGTCCTGCACAGCACCCGGCAGCGGCGCTCAGCACCCGCCCCACGACACAGCCCTCCACGCGCTGAACCCACACAAGGCTCGACCTGAGCCGGTTGCTTTCCAGCACCCGCACAGCACATTGTCCCGGAGATGAGCTCCCAAAGGTCCCTCCCAGCCCTACCGATCCCGTGTGCACCGGCCTCCAAACCTGCTCTCTTCCCATGCTCTCCCCTCGGCCCCACACGAGGCGGCACTAACCTGGACCGAGAGGGAGCCCACCACAACCTTCTCATCCCCGGAGGGGCTCTTGCACTCCAGCTCGCTGGTTATATGTGGGATCATATGGTCCAGGTCCCCGTTCTGCAGCTTCTCCGTGACTCCCTCCTCCTGGTCCTTCTTGGAGGGCAGAGCCTCGGGGCCGTAGTGGCTGTGCCCGTGGTGGTGCTGCGGGACAAGGAGGGGTTATGGATGTCGGCCACGTTTCCCACCCGAGCCGCGCTCCGAGCGGCCCTGGCTCAGCCTCACCTCATCCTTCTGCTTCAGCAGCATCTTCAGCACCTTCTCTGTGAAGAAGAAGAGGTAGAAGCCCCCGAACACCACAGCAGACTTGGAGACATAGTAATCCTCTTGTGGGTTGAATCCAAACGCCTGCAGGGACAGCGACAGGTCTGAGGAACAGCCCCTGGCAGCATCCTCTGCCCCAGCACCTCGGGGGCAGCCCTGCTGTGTCCTGACCTCTCTCTAAGCAGCAGCTGCTTTGGGGACAAGCTCAGAAATGCCTTTGTGCACCTTTCTTCTCCCTCACTCCCCCAGGCAAGCTGCGCCCCACGGCCCTGGATCCACCACCCTGCGTGTGGCAGGGATGCAGGTTCGAAAGCCTCTGAACCTGCCTGCAGGGCTGGAAAGGGCAATAAACTGCCTTGGAGCAGCCCAGAGGTCTCCCTGGAGCGATCCCCTTCCCAAGAGGGGCACAGCACCAGCTCCAATGCATTCCCAAGGGGCTCCCAGCCTCCGTACCTCGCTGCGGGCTCCCTTCGACGCCAGCGAGCGCCCGTGGAGAGAGA